GCTGGCGGCGGGGGACTGCAACTGCCGTCCTCATCTTGACGTCGTCCCATACGATTCAGTACATTCACAAGCACATCCAGATCTTGATTCTAAACTTTTTATGTCCATTCAATTGAAGCACATATTGCTTTACACCACCGATGGCACACATTCAATCATCACAATTCCCCTCCACTAAAATATCATAGTTTCACAACAACGTAACCCTTCTTGAAATCGATAACTTCATTCGGCAGGAAATGCCAAATGGACGGAAATATCATCTCCAGTGAAAAGCAACAGCCTTCATACCGAATTTTTACAATACACTGTTAACGACCTCATCCACTTCCATTTTCGAATACAATGCGTCAGCTGACTAACCTCAGGTCTTCCGTTGAGCATCGGTTCGCTCATTTTTCTCATCGGCGATGGGGCAGCGATCGACGCACTCACACGGGTGATATGCGGTGCATTGCGCAATTGATCCCTTGATGCCGCACTGCGATCACGCGCAGCACGAGCCGCCTCCTTCTCGCTCCGTCGCTTACGCTCGTAATTCGCCAAATCAGCCAGATGCGGTGCGGCCGGATGATTTTGTGGGGGTCCGATCATTGCCGCAGCTCGGTGCGGTGAGATACCTCTCTGAAAAGTGCTTTTGATAAATGAATAACTGTCATTGAACCGAATGCGGAATGAATGTGCAATTGAATGTTAGTCAATTTCAATGATGACCATTCTTGAACGTAACCAGATCGAATTCAAAAAGCACATGAAAATAATACTACAAAATCAAGGAATGCACGAATCGAATCGTTCATTCACAANAACACTTCAAAACATACAGTCTGATGATGCGAGAGAGGTCGTTGTGATCGACGATTCTGTTCGGGAGCATATCGCTGATGCGGTGATACGCCGTTATTAAGTGCCATTCGTGGATCGACTTGTTGTTGTCGCATTTTGACATGATCGCGTGGTGATGACTCACTCGCACCCAAACCGAATGCTACAACTTGTTACATGCAACTAACTCATAGATTCATAAGTGATTATTTGAGAGCACAAAGTTACAAAATGGATTACTTTCGCAAAATGATAACACCAGTCAATCTAACCAAGTAATATTTGTACTCAGACTCGATAGTATAAAACGAGAAATCAGAGGAGATTCAATACAAACGAGGTCTATGGAATTGTTGCGATGAAGGTGGATGTTTGATTTGTTGTGGTGAATGGTGATGGTGATGATGGTGTGACGAAGGCATGGCTGCAGACTGCTGCATTGAGAGTGGATTCGCATTTGATACGGATATGCGTTGTTTGGACGATGCTTGCTGCTGGGCTTGTACTTGATCGAACTTATTGTTCTCTTGTAATCTTTGAAAGCCTTTCCTCAAAGTATTCTCATGACCCGACTGCATCACACTTGCCATCTCTGAAATCACTTCGCAGTCTCTCCTCAAACTATTTCACACCCCAACACAACAATACAACTGATCGAATCGACTCTAAAAAGAAGCACCACCCAAAACTCCTCCAGATCGTTTCTGAGCATTTGATGACATTCGCCCTCGAAAAAAACCTTTCTTCGTGAACACGATGAAATTAAACACTATCGAGTCTGAGCCAAGCCATCATTTGGCTAGCATCTAATTATCTATTCATATGATCTTTCAATGATAACTGGACAAAGTGTGAGTTAATTTCGGAACCAAAAATGTTCCTTTCCTCAGATGATAAGTAAGAACGAGATTAATCGAACAGGATACATTAAAGATATTCTACGTACCAGCTCCAAGATCAGCAACTTTAGCGTTTTGCACGTGATGATTTTCATCGTCATCACTACCCGAATATTCATATTCTGTTTCATCTTTAAAAAAAAAACAATCATTACACATTCGATGAATGATAAACAATTAAAACATTACTCAATTTCAACAATTCGCAAAACAACCAAACGTAAATGACGAACACTCGTGTGGGCGGGTGTTCAGGTCATGACTGATATAAATAAATTCAAACCTTTTTTAGCATTGATTCTTCGATGTCGGTCTTGATGATCTTTAATCGCAATACGCGTCTGTCGTTCAGGTGGCTGGTCTCGGATGAATGGATGTCGCAATAGTTGATCCGTATATGGTCTCTGGTGATAGTCCTTCACCAATACAGTCTCAATGAACGATTCAAATTTCTTTGACCTGAAATTACCATCACCTGGCCATCAGTCAGTCAGAAGATATTCGAACAGTTAATTGTCACCACAAAGAACAACAACAATAAGAAATGTGATACACACTTCAACACATTGTGCATACAAACGAAACGAACCACTTTTTGCCTCGTTTCAATCGCGGCGGAAGATTTCGGGGTATGAGGAAGAGTGCACGCATCGGATGCATATCAACAAGCGGAGGATGCCCTTCAGCCATCTCCAACGCAGTGATACCTAATGACCAGAGATCACTTCTCGAATCGTACGTCGCTTCTGGATTCTCATCGCATGCTATCACTTCTGGAGCCATCCTGTTCATTTAGAAAAATA